GTAATAGTTGAAAAAGTCTATGAGGTCAATAGCAAAAAGTTTTTGATTTTGAACAAACATTATATGATTATATAAAGTCTTTGATTATCTTTCATAATTGATACTACCAAAAATCTTTACATATCAGCTCCAAAGTCTTATTGTATCTAAAATATCTTCTTGCTAAAAAGTCCTAACAAAATTAAAGAATATGTAATCATACTTCACTTTCTAGAACATACAAGCAACCTTCAAAATATAATAGATTATTCTTGAATTTGAACTAAAAATTATGATGAGATATAGAAGAATCATTTTTAATATCATAAAAAAGAAAATCAAAAAACATACTCAATTGAACTTGCTTGAAAAATATTAAATCAACAATCAATGTTGATTTTGTTGCTTAAAGATGAAATTGCTTTAGCTTCTAGAAGATGGTTCTATGTTGATTAAAAACTATATTTCTTTCTTTTGATATAAGATAAGAATGTCTAAAAAAAGTGTTTAACAAATCTTGTTGTTTTTTTGGTTAATAAGTGATCTAAATAAAGACTTGCTCCAATAGGCTTGAATATGATTTAAAACACATGCTCACATAAAATACTCAAGGTTCTTATGATTTATATATGCAATGACTAGATTTGAAGCACCTTTTAAATAATATTGCAAAATATAAATCTTCTTGATTGCAGCAAAAATTGCATCATGTTTTCCATACATGAATCAAAATTCTACCAAAAAAGCCTCCAAATTATTCAAAATTAGATCACATCATTTAAGAAAAGATAAAAACTATAATAAGGTAGAACATAAAAGAATTATACCAATAAACTTGACTTATGATCTTGAAATTGGATAGTTTTATGATTGAAGTTCAATCACAAGTTGTATGTGATTGATAAATCTTCAAAACTTTAATCTTATCAATAAAACTTCTTAAATAAGATAAGTCTTAGTTCTTTAACATTTGAAGGATGTTCTAATATAGAAGAAGTAACACAATTTGGTATAGATATTGAAGCAATTCTAATCATCTCTATATCTTCACTTTCTACCAATCTTGTTGCTCTTTGTTGTGATAAATTGAGTTGATTCATTAGAAGCATTAATTCTTTTAATTATTCTTATGTTTGTACTATTTTACTCTTCATTTCAATAAGATTTGCCATCATAATATAATAAAAAAGAAGATATTTAATATTACTTCAAACAAATAGAAGAAAAAATTTAAGAATAAAGAAAATGCTAAAAACATTATCAATTTAGAATTAGGTAATCCGCAACTTTTAATATGCTTATATCTTATCAAGAGAAAAAAATAATCCATTCTTAATTTTTAAAAAGACAAAGCTTTGATATTATAAGTATACTCTTGTCAATCCATCAAGGATAAGAATTTAAAGAAGATACATAAATAAATGAGATATGTATCAAAGAGAGATGACAAAATAGAAATAAGAAATTATATTTAAGAAGAAATTAGATTGGTTATTGCTATAGACTAGAAGCAAGAAAAGAGTTGATAAGAGTAAAGAAGGCTTCACTATTGCTTCTATAAATACTATCTAAGTAGCAACTATGTAGTGACATTTTATAAAGACTCTAACACATCTTCAACTTGTAAGATACATTGTTGTATTACATGTATTATTATTTGAAAATATACTAGATACCTAGCTGTGAAAGATAAGTAAAAATACAATAATAATCCTACTAAATATAATAGAGGCTTAAATGAACTTTAAGTAATTTTCATTATTCTTAATCAAACTTTAACCAATCTAAGTAAATTTAAAATAAGTTATAAAAACATACAAAGAAGTCATAAAATAATCTCAAAGAAATATAATAAAAAAATCTTAAAGAAATATAAAAATAAGCCTTAAAGAAAAAATATTTTTTAAAAATATTATAAATATAATTTTTTTAAAAAAAACAAAAAAAATCTTTAAAAATATTAAAAATAAAAATATTAAATAAATCCTAAGTTAATCCTAACCAAACTTTAATTCAATTTTAATTTAAATTCTAATGAATTTTGATTAAATCTTAAATTAAATTCAAATTAAATCCTAATTAAAAACTTAATTAAATCTCTAATCAAATCTTAATTCAAATCCTAATTAAATCTTGATAAAATCCTAAATCCTAAAAAATCCTAAACCTTAGATCAATCTTAAAAAAATCTTAATAAAATCCTAAATTCTAATAAATCTCTAAATCTAAGATCAACCCTTATCAAATCCTAGTGAAATCCTAAATCTTAATCTAGTCCTAATAAAATCCTAAATCCTAATTAAATCTTAAATAAATCTTAAATAAATATTAAATAAATTCTAATCAAATAATAATAAAATCCTTAATATATTAAATAAATAAAATAATATATTAAGCCTTAATCAAATCTTAGTTTCTAATTCAATCTTTATCAATCTTTAATCAAATCTTAAATCTTAAACAGAGTCTATATAAATCTTATAGTAGATTAAAAATTAAATATATAATTCTTAAACCATTGGTTTTGGTTCAAAATCTAAAAAATTTATAATAATTAAATTAGCAACAACAACAAAAAAAAAAAAAAAAAAAAAAAAAAAAAAAAAAAACACACACATATCAAATAGATAATAATCTTTAAACTCCACTTAGGTATCAGCTCACCTCCTTTTTCAATCATTGTATTGATATTTCCAAACTAAAATCTTTTAATTTTACTATTTAATTAATTCCAAACTTTGCACATTTATTGGAAGTCAAGCTAATTACCTTTAAGCAAAATTGTATTCCAATCTAATTAGCGAATTAAAAAACATCTTAGAAATCCTGACTAGTCCTATAAACCTCAATTTTGAAAACTATAAACCACAAAACTCTTGTACTCTTCAATCTAATTGCTCAATTGACCTCAAATTTCTCTCACACATTTACAACAAGCAAAATAAACAACCAAATTTTCATCCATACACATGTTGTGAAATTCAAAAAAAATTGAAATTTGTAAAATTATTTTTATTTTTCAAAATGTAAATCCATTGAGTACATTTTTAATTTTGAAAATCCCTCAAATGCTTAATATTAATCCAAATGACATGAAACAAACTCTCAAAAATCTCTTCTTAAGTTTTCTCCCAAATCTTGTTCTTTGATTTGTAAAAGAATCCTAGAATTGTTGTAGGTGCACAATTTTGTGTCTTGAGGTTTAATTTTGATCCAATTTCACAACTGGTCCTTTTTAGATATCAATTTTTGATAATTTGAGGTAATATTTGCTTCAACCTATTGTTAACTCTTTCTTAAAGATGCCAATATTATTTACTTATCTCATTTATTTTGATTTGAGACTTTTATGCCCTTGTAAAATAAATAGAAATTCCTTCTATAAAAGGTACTATTAAGACTAAACTTTTTATTACCTTTCTATTATTTATCTTTGTTTTTTTACTTCATCTTTCTACTAGGCTCTTCTATAAAAACACCCATATTTTTATTTTTCACCATATAGTCATGTTATCACACAATAATGTATCCTAACTTGCAAGGCAAGTTTCTCATATTTATCTTGTATAGTTAACTTGTACCACAAGCTACCAATACATGCCACATATGGCTAACTTGTTAGCCAAGTTTCTAACCTATTAATCAATTATAAACATGTATAAAATTAAAGCCATGTCTATGAAGCTTTTAAGAAGCTTTTCTATAAGATATTATTAAATTTATCTACTTTATTTACTTCTACTTATTCATATTATATAAGTAATTATTCAAATAAATATGTATATTCCTAACATGTATATTTTAAAAATAATTCTACAAACTTGATTTTGATATATTTTTGACAATAAAATCAAATCCTACACCTAAATCACAAATTAAATATAATACATTAATTTTTCTTACTCTTTTATTAATGTATATATATATATATATATATATATGTGTGTATAATATATAAAAAAATATAAAATATAAATAATTCATAATCTAAATTCATGAATAAAAATATTATTTAAAATAAACTAAAATTATACTTTTCTATGTTACTCACCAAATAATATATAAAATTTAGTTTCAATCTTTTTTTCTTCTTTTTATGAATTATATCCTCTAATTTTAATTTATTTGATAATCACATTAGACACTTTTTTTACATTTTTCATAAAAAACATTAAGCCACAACAAACCTATTTACATAGGTAGCATCCAAGATAGATGATCATAAAGAAATAATAATAATAATAATAATAATTAATAACTAAAATAAATAAATAAATAAATTTAAAATTTGCAACTTCTTATAAATACACCAAATACAAAAACCAATTCAATTATTGTCTTACAACTCAATAAAGCATGTAATTCCACAACTCAAATCCTAAGTGCAAATCCTTACCAAAAAATTCACACAAACCACACTATTGTTGATGCTAGACATATAAGCAAATTTCGACTTGATTTCAAACGTTTTAATGCTGATGATAGATTGTTGCATCTTAATGTGGCATTTTTGAAGCACTTTGTCATCAAAGTAGTGACAAATACATTACAATTTGAAGCTCAAGGTGAAAAGCTGACCAATGGATTGACTAGCAGTGAACTTAAATTGAAATTGATCACAAGTTGGGTGCAAAAGGCAGCAACCATGTGCAGGTCTCAGATTGGAGATTCCAGCATTGATAGAACTACTTCAAAAGAAGCAAACCTTGAAACCATTTGTGAATGATGTTATGAATCAAAGTTCATACTCCATTCGATGTGCAATTTTAAGCACAATTCTGCCCAAACCCCAAAAGCTGTTACAGATCATCTATGATCTTTCTTACCTGCAATGTTGTTGTTTCTAGGACACCTACTCATTGAAGCTCATGCATTTGAGTGGTAAATTATCGAAATGATTATATTATATAACTTATGTTTTCATTTATACTATTTGCATTTTTCCGACAGTACTTATTTAAGATGAACATACGAAATCTAAAATAAACCTTGGCAGTCATTGTGACCATCTGTGAAGCTGATTAGGGACATGCACTGTCGATTGGTTTGAAAAATGAACAGAACAATCACCTTGCTGTCTATAGAAACTAACACCTTCGGAAATCTAGTTTCAAACGAAGATGGAACATTTTAACAAAGTTCCCTGCCTGGAACTGTAATTAAGTGAGAAAACACTACAAGAAACAGGATCAAAGATTTAAATCAAACAAAGCAAGAGTATTGAAGGTCATATACCTCACTCCTTCAAGAATCTGTCTTCAGCTGGTAGTGACCCCATGGAACGATAACTATGCTACAAAGGGTGTGTTACATATTTATACTACAACGGAAAGTCTCTGTAGAATGAGTCTACTATTACAAAACCTTGATGAGGTGCTGAGTAGCTGAGATACTACCAAGTATGACCTGATAATGTGTAGGGTTTGTCTGTTTGTACATGTTGAATGAACCCGAGGGTGTAACATGGCATGCTAAAGCCTAAAATAGGACGAAAAAAATCAAGTCCCGTCTATCATAAGACAACCGCTGAGAACCGGATTCTCATCCTTCACTTCTTGCCTAATCCAGTAGGCTCCGAGACCTCACTTGCCAATATTACTAATGTGAAAGGGCTCAGCACAGAACTTCTTCTCGTGCCTGAGAAGCAATGATAAAGCAATTAACAAGGATTGTAAGTCTTGTATGTCTTTGGAGTGAAGGAGACGGCAAAAAGGAAAATGTCATGTAAACAAAAAATGGTTTCTCTATTTGGTTAAGGTCACAATCACAGGTAGACGTCACAGCACCGTGTTGATATGCAGGGCTTTCATGAGAGCTGTAGCCACTTGCTTCACAAGCACTTGTCCACCTGTTCGCTCCCCATCACGTCTTTCTTCGATGAGCTTTTGTAGCCTGGATGGCAAGTCGTGCTCCGCTATGAGCTGCTTTGGACGCGGGTGATGCTCATAAACAACCTGCAAGAACACGTTCAGCCTCAGGTAGCGACTACAGTGCCAGTGTGGTTTCCAAATTTCAGTCCTAAAAACTCCATTCCTCGTAATACTTTCATTGAGTAGATAACTCAGCCTCGGAGAGAGAAGGGATCACGAGATTTCGATTTATGCCTCACACCAGATACGACTTTAAATGTCTCAAAAACTTCAATTAATACAACTCATTTTAAAAAGATAACCTGAACTATCAAATGCCAAAGAAGTCTTTATGATTTAAACACTACATATCATACTAGTAGCATTTGATATGTCATCTACCTACACATGTATAAAAGTCAAGCTCGTTCTCCGCAGTATTATTGTACTAACCTTAATCATTTTGAGTAGTAGTAGACGTGCAATTGCTTCTTTGTGATCAAGGCGCCCAACAATCAAAGGCGTCAAACCTGAAACTGCTAAGGCTGTATTCAAGCGGACCGATTTGCTGCAAGTCACCAATTACAAGCCAGAACAGTATAAGCGCATCGTAAAGCCGTCCACTTTCCATAATTTCCAGTGAATGATCAGCTCTACAAACAAATACATGTAGCGCTTCATTAAAGCAGACACCCAAAAAAGTTGTTTACCTTCTATCAATAACAAAATGGTTAATATAAAATAAATTAGATGAAATCTCACTCTAACATGTATAGCTACCGGTGATAGCAGAGAGTATGTTACACACGTTATCATTTTAAGAAACGGCTCAAGGATTTGCACGAAAGAGTTTCCACCACACGATCGGAAGAACTCCACCAACTTCAATATAGATTCCTGCTTTAACAGCAAAGATTCGACCTTGCGCTGCTCATTGTCGTGAGCTAGACACACAGCAAGTGAATCTATTGCAGTCACGGCCCAATCCTTATCATCTAGTAAATTCAGGTAGATGTCAAGTCCCTTGTAGGCTCTAAGTTGCTCCCTGTATTTATCAGTTAGTGAGAGAAATTGTAAGAAATATAGAAATGAAGCAAATAAATGATTTTAAATATGAAAATTTGGATAACTACAAAACTGTTGAAAACCTCATACTTACTGCAAAAAAAATATTAAAATAAGATTTCTGCAAAAACTTCTGAATAAATTTCCCAACATAGCGAACTACTCGTTTCAGTTTGATCATAACTCTTTCAATCGAAAAGCAAGCGTTTCGAGACAAGTTAAGGGGATGAGCTCCACGATTGTTACCTGGTGTAGCGAGATGCATGTGCCATATCACACAGTAATGGTAAGGCATAATGCTTTAGAGGAGAATCAGACAATATGAAATGCATCAAATGAGGGATAATCCCACTTTCCGCAGCTTGCTCTTGCCGACGTTTATTGATTTTGCACAAGTTGTGTAAAGAGCTCAATACCTGAGCCCACAACAGGTATTAGGGTGTTGAAAGCATCGGTGTCAATTAATTAAAACCTTACGTATGTATGTGCCCTTCCAAGAACCACGAAAAAATTTGAGATGTTAATTGCAATTTCTAAGAATCGGTGCATTTCGCACCATCTTATCACATTACGCAGCTCCAGAGCAAGCTTCCCATGCAATTCTGGGTGTTCGAGATATTCACCTCATTTTGGATGATGTCCGCATACAACCCATCTCGATGTTCAAGGAAAGGCACGAGATGCTTGATAGCATCTGCTCGTTGCAAAGCCTCCAGTGTGTTGGGCTCTGTTGAAAGTTGGTTTATACACCTTAATATCTACACAAACAGAGATTATCGATCAACTCAATACTCAAAATCTTGCTCTCAATAGATGCGCCATATTTTCATAATCAGAATAACAGGAATGACCACATTCAACTAATCAACCGACACTAGCATAAAAGTTGACGACAAAACGAAAGTCATAAGGTTTCTGCAAATTTGAGATGTTGTAAGGATAGACGCCAAAAGGATGCAGAACAGTATGTTTTCTATCAATTGCCTTAAACTGAAAAAAATTGCACTGCTAGTCCACTACACATCATAAAAGAAGAGACTCGCATGCATTTTAACAAATTGAGGGTGTATCAGATTGGAAAGAGTTGCTCAAAAATAACGTGCCACCATACCTTGACAAGAATAGGGGCCTCCAACTTATTCAGCATCTGAAACAGTCGGATTAAAAGGCTAAGACCGCACATAAAAGACTTCACAACAGCGTCTCCCGCTGAAAACTCCACAAGTAAGTCCGACACTTTCGTGGTGTACTCACGTGCCTCATCAGGACTCAGTGCTGACTGCATGCGAGCAAGGAGACCCGATGAAGCCGTACTCCCAAACCGGGCATTTGGATGTCCCGACGATGATAACACACTTGATGCCGATTGGGAGGTAAGGGCTGAAACATTTGTTGCTGGTTCACCCTGCAATCCACACACAATTCAGATTCAGATGTTTCCACTATATTCGCCTTGCAACTACTACTGCGGAGTCGAACCATACACAAATAATCAAAGGCATATACCGCGTTCCAAAAGCCTTGAATATCTAGCCTTCCAGATGGAGAAGGTGACAGCCTCGCATTCCTGCCAGTTTTTGTAGAGGTGAGACCCGCCATCTCCACGGATGCGTTGTCCCTCTCCAAATCTGCATTAAAGTGACAAAATCAGGTTAAGCTAATTCAGAGAAGGTCAAAATTTCCAAAATAGCTAAAGAATACTCAAGTGTAGTGCACGCAAAGTTCACTATGAAACTCAAAAAAGTAAAAAGATCCTATAGTAAAATCATTGGTAGGAAGTGCGAGTGCGAGCACATATGAGAAGATTAGTACCTGTAGTATAAGAGTCAAAACTTCCATTTCTTCTTTGAGCATGGTGTAGGAGAGGCAAAGCGCTATCACTCCTATCAGAGGGATGTCTCACATGATCAGGGCGTCCAGGGGTAAATTTAGAACCATAGTCTTTATCCCAGAGACTGAAGAAGGTTGCCTGCCATTGGCAGAAAATGAAATTAAATGAAGACATCGCTAGATTCTCATCCATTCAAATACCACAGAAAGACGAAATGATTGTCATAAAACTTAGACATCATCAATGCAGGTAAATATCATTCCATGAAAATCGGGATTGGCAGAAATAGATAGGTAAAATGAGACTTTTTGTTTGGTCAATGTTAGCATGCATGGAAACCTGGGATGAAGGATCGGCAGGAGCATGTCCATTGCGATGGACTGGTTCAAACACGGCCCATGAAGTCTCTGCAGGTATCAGAGGCCTACTTGAATCTCCGTTTGAGCGCGCATCATCTTCTTTTCCAAAACGATTATAGTCTGATAGCAATATATTATCCCCTAACTGCAGAAATGGATTCGTCCCTGCTGCATGCTGTCTCCAATTATCTAGAGCAGCAGCTTTTGCTTGATCGAGCTGGCCTGAATGACCTCGAGTGTGTAGTTCCACTTGACCAGGAAGATGTCTGAGGTAATCTGGAAGAGCAGTAGACTTATGAGGCTGACCTGGCAGCAACTTATGCATCTCTACATCTGAAGCTCCTGCTGCCGCTCCATTATCTGCATACGATATTTTTTAAGCTTTCAATGTGAGGCTTTCATTCCAAATAAAATTGATCCTCTACCTGTACAACTTGGAACTCTTATGTTATATACTAGTCCTCTACTTGCACCGACCTTAATAGATAAATTCTCTTATATTTAGAAAATGATACCACTGCAGATAACAGACTTCAAATCCAACGAGGTAGACGATACCTGTAGGATTGTATACATGATTCTCTGCTGTGGTTGTGGTGGTACTTGAAGCTCCCGTTTGAAGGCCAGCTCTGATAACTTCATTGAGATTATGAAGAGTGTTGACTAACCGAACAAGCACACCACTCTTTGCAAAAATGCGGCAGAAGTCATTCTTGGACGTTGAGCTCTGTAAATCAAACACCTGCCACATACCATCAATAGCCATGTGTACCATTTCTCTGCGCACAGCCCAAAAATACTTCCTCCCATCAGTAAAAGACATGATCAAACAAATTAGCATTGTACAGAGGATCTCAACGAAAGGCTTCGGAACCCCAATTGTGTGTCCTGATTCTCTAAATATTAAATGGAACCAAGACTTTAGCCTGAGTTGTGATGATGTCTAAACTCTGGCTCAATCAGCCCAATAATATTGAGTACAATAAGTAACAGCATTACAGTCATATTCAATGGACCAAAAATTGTCACCCTAACAAATTAGTTGAAGTTTCTGAATAGCATTGATTTGTAGTGAGACAAAACGTGCACAAAGATTTACGAAGGATATCCAAGGTCCTGGGTAAATTGCTATAATTGAGGCCGAAACAACAGCACAGAATGCAGGGAATACAAGAATACTATCTACGATTACAGAAACCAGTACCTATATTTAGCGTAATCTGGCTCCAGAAATCCCACTAATACAGGAAGACCCCGACATGAGATGAACATCTGCAAAGTTGTCGCACTGCATGAACACGAAATAAGAAGAGTAAGAATTTGTATGCAGCAGATACTTACTCTCCACAGCTAGGAATTGCGACTACTTGGAATCATTGCGTGTGCGAATGAATATACTGTTTATCACCTCGTTCAAGCGTCGACTACAAACTATATTAGGGTTTAAAATAAATGTCACAGATACTAGAAGTCAAACAGTAACAAAGATTTCATATCTACAAGTAGCCCTTTACCTTGTATGACAGAGCTGTCGCACAAAATTAGAGACCTCCATCCGAATGTCGCGGGATCGTTCTGTACTTGCAAAGCTTGTAACCACAGGCACCTGTAGAAATGGATCTCTTGAGTACAATCCGCAAAGAAAAAATCCATATGTAATGTGTTACTATTGAACACTGGTGAACGATAATCTGCAAATGAAACATTTGCCGAAAGATCGCAAGACTAAGATTTCATGATTATAATTAAAGGCATTTGCGACAGAAAACGGGTTCTTTTCGAAAATTACCAAGCCAATAAGGCACGCGTTTTCCTGAAGCTCAACATGGTCTTGTATGACGTGGTTTATAACGCGCAGAACTTCATACAAGACCTGCCCAATCACCTCCCCAGGTCATAATTGAGCATGTCACACTTGCACTCTCAAGTGCAAATCGCACCGTGTAAACACCATACAGAGAATTCACCTAAAAAGATTGAACAGCTTACAAATGGTACCAAACATTTAAATCGGAGAAGGAAACAAAAAGCAAAAAGCTTCATTCTGCTACTCCAATGTGAGGTGGACGCTCTCTGGTGTACCTAATAACATGCAAATCACAGAACTACATTGACTATCCTTTTTACTGCAAAACGACCACCCATCACAAGATAGGATAATAACCCATGCTTCTTACTCTATTGTTACTGGTTTCAAGCATGTCCATCAAAGGTATGAGACCATGACGGCTCATTAAACGTGATTTCTGATTTGGAAATTCTCGAAGTATGAGAACCAGCCTTTGGCACACTGGAATCACAGCCTCTTCTGGTTCATCGAGCTTGACCATCCCCATTAACCTAGTAAATTCTGAGGCCTGATTCCCATTTTCCAACAAAGAATGTACCACTTTCAAGAATATTGCAAATATTAGCACCAAGTAACCTCAAGCACTTCAAGCCAAAGAGTTCAATCATGCTATTTACAACCTAATATACTAATAAATGATAAGCTGATGGGACACTGATACCGTACCTGCTTGGCAAAGTACTCTCGAGCTTGAGCGTTGGTCTCAAAACCCTGCAGTACCATGGGCCAAGTAACTTAGAAACATACTTCATTTATTACATTCCACTAATCCCCACGAAGAGTATAGGAACAGAATTTATCTCTTCTATGTTAGGGGTTTTCTTTACAAGCCTGGGCAGAGCGTATTTGAAGGGTACATTGCATGAAAGTGTAATTATACTCACAACACGTAGGGTGAAGACGATGCATTCATCTTCATTTGTGCAAATATCTTTACGCATGAGAATATTTTACACAGGTAAAAATACGAGTAAACTTATGAAATAAATTGTCATCACAAAAGCCCTCCGAGAAACAACGTAGCTAAAAATATTGCTTCGTAGATTCAACCCCTTTGTATCTGGACCGCAGTTAGTTCTTAACAAATGTGAATTTCAGTAATCCAGAAAAGCAACATGTGAAGATAGCAGACTAAAGATAAGGATAATCAGAAATTAATAATAAAAATTAAGTACAGAAAATATGGCCCTGAAATTGAGAAACGATTGTTGGATAATAATGTTGTAAATCAACTTTCAGTTACAAAAAATTGGCTGAGGGTTGCTTGGTAACGAGGACCGTACCAATTCACCAATATCAAATTCGTTTTCATCGGCAATAATGAGTGCTTTGAAGGAGTTCGGATTACTTTTTCTGGTAACATCTGATTTCAGTTGCTTCTGAGAAACCTGAGACTTCAATCTGGATCTATTTAGTACAAAAGAAACAGAGTTCCCGGGAGGAGGAGCATTGGATGGAGCAGATGTCGATGCTTCTTCTTCACCGCCATGAGAATCGTCCATAAAATCTTCCATCAGCCCATCCAAGGAGAGATCCTTATACACACCAAGCTGACCTCCACTTCCAGAATAAGTAGTCAACCCCTGTTGCGATCGAGCAGAAAGATCACCGATGTCAAAATAACCACTATAATATGAAAAGCAGCCAAGGCATTGTAAGACATAAGGTGCAAAATAACAAGATAAAGGTATCAACCAAGTAATTGGCAAGTATTATGCTATGCCACCTCCTCCAAAGTGCAAAAGAAACAAAATGAACATACTGATAATTCTTTGCCTGTTAAATCACCATCGAAAAATCTTCTTAACAATCATTTGCTCTGCTACTCATTCGATTCAGTTTATCCCGCAAGAACATGAGAATCCGGAAAAAAAAAATTATCTGAACTATACCTCAGGATTGAACAGAGATCCATTCGGTTCTAGTTGCAATTCAATGTCCTCTTTCTTGCCTTCCATCAGATTTTTTACCTCCGCATGGTCGTCACTATAATTTCCGCTCAAATGCAACCTCCCTAATAAAGATATGGGTTCGTTGTCAACCCAGCGCCTACCCATATCATCATGCAACGGCTCACCAGCCAGTCCTGCTTTGCCATTCATTTCCAGCGCACTCCTAATTTCTGGTCTCGAAGTTACAGAATCAGGAGACTCAACTTGAGCTAGAACATGCCCCCCAGCTGGGTGCAAGTTTGTGATTGGGTCCAGCTTGCACTGTTTGTTTAGGTCATTCCCAGTGGGTTCAGGTTGACGAGAGTTCTGACTACCCGACAATCTTTGAAGATGTGAGACGGCATGACGAGGTATTCGTATTAGAGCCCGACGACTGATACTGCTCTGACTACTACTAGCAGCACTTGCTTCATTGCTCATTGTCGGTGAATGGATTTTCAAGTCATCCTCCTGAATACAAACAATATCAGTCACTAAGCAGTCAGATGCTGAGAATGAGCATAGGATTGTTTGAGACAACCGTCGGTTATTGAACCACAAACTGCTTCCACGACAGAAAGAGTATACTGACAAGCAGCTATATAAGTCAATTCAGCTGAAAAGCTAATCCACCACAATCTCTAGTAGTGATGCAGGCTGTATAGAACAACTAAGCTTCAAGCGAAATTACACAACAATTACCTTACAAATTATTCGCTTGCCAAATCTACAGCTTAGCACACAAACCGTCCAGCCAGAAACGAAGTGCTCTTAGCTGGACCGTCTGCAAATTACCATGCAAAAAGACGCGATCTCTTTGTAAAGTTCCTCTATGCATTCATTTCATTTTAACATATTTGATTAAGGCTTATGATGAATTTTTAACATGACAAGTTGGAGACTTACCGAGCATGATTCAAAGGGATCCCTCATTATAAGGGATTCCTCTTGCTCACCAGGAGCGTTCTGCTGATTCTGCTCCTCGATTGTCCTTTCCACGACAGTCGATACAACCTCTGGAATATTGCTGCATCAAGATGGATCAAGGAAATGAAGAATAGTAAAAATAAATCCCACTTGTAATTTTGAAGCGCCGCTCAATGGTTAAATTTCCGATGCAAAAATAAGTATCAATCGTTAAGGACTAAATGTCAGTTAAATAACATACTCAGTACACCATTAATGCAAGTCAATTTATTAAGACTTGAATACAGTGAGAAGCCTGCCTCAATTTCATTGTTGACCAAGCTAAATTTGCCTAAGCTTCGATTAGAATGCAGGATGGGAGCGAAGGAATAATTTACATGCTAGATCATCTGAACACCTAGCATGATATGGAGGGAATTCCTGTCCTGCACCTAGTACGTACATACCTATCCAGTGTGCTTTGAAGATTCCGCCTGGAGTTGCGGAGCCAAGGATGGTTTAACAGGGTCTTCGCGTCTGGCCGCAACTTTGCATCCTGTTGGTATGATTCAGTTAATAAAGATTACGAACAACCCACCCAGCATTCCAAAGAGAACTACGGACAAATGTTTTCAAGATACACAAAGTTAACGATTTTATGCCATGCTATCAATTATTTTACGCGCCATGAACAGGTCCTTCAGCACGAAAAGAAACAAGTTGTTCAGTTACGCAAACCTTCTGAAAGCATTGAAGAAGAAAATCCGTGATTGCGTCGGACACATGCTCAGGCAATGGAGGCCGTGGATCCTGCTTCCATAACACAACCCTGGAACAAAGTTCAGTATCTTTCACACAAATCAAATCCTCTTCCGCCATATTGAATTATTTGCCGATCCACGAAATAACTCGCAAATTTTTGCTCAGCCTTCATCACAAGCTGGAAAAATTAGGTGCTGCCAAAAGTTGACTGAACAAAAGAGCAATATGCAGCCACTAGCCAATGTACAGGCAACAGGGAGGCTAAATAAAATTGGAAGGCACCAAAACTAGACACATGAAAACACTTTGCATATTTCAAGGGATGAAGTACGACCTGAACGATACGGTAAAGAGCTGGCATCGGTTGCAGCTCATAATAAGGTGGTATGCAAGTTAAAAGTTCAATTACTGTACACCCAACACTCCAAATGTCCGATGCTGCGCTTACTCCTGACATTTCAATCACCTAGCAACACAACACAGATCCATAAACTTATCATTTAGTCCAGTATTAACATCAAATTACAGCAGTTAACGAGCTGGCTCTATACAACCCCAGTACCTATTAAAACCATCCAAGAACCTGAGCATTGTGAAAGTACAATAACATATCTGAAATTGAACTGCCAGAAAGTAACATACAGCTGAGACATAGAAGATCTTAAACCGAGACATATTTGCATTGACCACTAAAACATTTCTTTTAACCTAGAGCAGCTCTAAATATCATAGATTTAGAAATTTGCTCAAACTGATGATGATGCGTGCGAGAACAATCTCAGCGTGATATACACTGGCGACAATATACATAGAACTCAAAGTGCTAAGAGGTGGCACAGAGATTTGTGAACTCTAAATATATATTTAGAGCTAGACTGTTCCGGGGAACAAGGAGTGCATGGAAACAAGACCTCTGGAGCCATCCAATAGGGCGTTCCGACAACAGAATGTGTATTGATATCAGCTTCAGTCAGCTTTGTTGCAACTCCAAAATCAGCAAGCTTCACCAATCCCTGATACAACAAACCCATATTTTAGGTTTATGACTTACAAATCCACAACCATTCACACACAAATACATATATCTATATCTATGTATATATATATATATATATATATATATATATATATATATATATATAAAAGTAACTGTAGTTGGCTAAAGTGTACCTCTTTGGTCGTAAGAATGTTAGCGCCCTTAATATCACGGTGAATGACACCTTGTTCGTGAAGATATACTAGTCCTTCCAGGACCTGCATCGCACAATACTGCTTAGGCCAATCCTAGGAATTGCTGTTTACCAAGCAAAGGAGATTCAACCGTGAGGATTAAACACGGATAGGACAAAATGACAAGAAATTAGTAATATTTGTTCAGAATCTAGAGCTAGGCACGAAATACAAACATTCGTTAACAGGTATATTGAATTAATTAAAACCCTACTCTAGACCAAGCCACCTTTAGAATTACACCACCTATACACTTCTAAACCTTACCTAGCCAAAAAGATATTGCTACACGAAACAAAAATATAACGCACCACATTGAAACGTAAGTGAAATATGCAATTACCAAAGGTGCTAACCTGGGCAATGTACACAGCGACCAAAGATTCTGGAAACGCTCCAAATTTGTTTGGTTTAATTATGCTAGCCAGAGATCCATTTTCCACAAACCTAAAATCGACGAAGTATTCATCACTTAATAATATCCAGATTCTGGTCCAAGTGATGAAATTCAAAAGCACGTGCTTTCAAGAACATCACAATTCCAGGGCCTGAATCAGTTGAACTTACTCGAGAATAATGTAGAGATGTGTTTTGGTCTTGAAGGAACCTTGATACTTGACTATATTCCTATGATTCAGGTTCTGTGTAAAGAAAGATCAATAAGCACAATCTTCCCAGTTCAGCAACACACGGAGAAGACATATAGCAACACATTTTTTGTAATTGGGGTCGATAGCAGTAGAACTGATTGTGTTTATCTTTGGTACTCTTAAGGAATGTTTAACATTTCAAAGAAAAACAGGAATGTATCATATCCAACTTACAACAAAAGTCCCAAAACCTTCAATCTGGTTCTCACAAAAACAGCAATCCAGTGATGACTTGCAATTATAGATTGAATGAAACTCGAGAATTCATAAGTGATTATACAAGATACCTTTAAAAGATCAATCTCTGACTGCAATAATTTTCAAGGAATCCACAAAAAACCCCCCAATGATCCCTGTGTTAGACAAACGATAAAGGAGATGCACATAAAGTTCCCATGCTCTTGAAAGGATTAATTGCCAAGAGTACATTGTGTAACAACTAGTCGCAACTCACTGTTGAAGGGACACTAAACAACATATAATAAAAATAAATAAATAAACTGAATACATTCGCTTCACATCTACCCACAAATATTATCAACCATCCACACTGCGTCTAAAAAATAAGTATATACGTTGCAATGATAGGACCACACCCACCATAATGCTGGCCAGATCTTCGGACGGGATATTCTCCAGCGAAACCTGTTTGATCGCCACAAAATCTCCATTGTCCAAATCCAATCCCTTGTACACTCGGCCATATGCCCCTTTACCGATTTCATCTCCCAGCAACTGCCAACCATCAAACCATATGACATCATATTACATCACTGGATGCAAGTAAGAGTCTCTGGAAAAGCCAGATACCAGCGATTGTTGCTAGTTCGTATGTTCATATCTCATACTAATGTTCCCCAGCTTCTAATCTAAATAACAGATGCTGGTTTCCCAGGAACGATTATGGTAACAAGATGGTACAGGAAACTGGAGACCGGACTTGAGAAACATGTGCGGAAATTCATTCTTCAGCTACAAAATCTTAATGTAAAGGAGAGAAAACTCCACTACTACATTAATTCCACGTCATCATCTCTAAAAGGTCATTGAGAGCAGCGACTTTTGCCACAAAAGCACACCAATCCGAGATTAAAGTACGATTGCATGCTTGTACCGAACACAGGAGCTTAATTTTCGAAGTAATTGTGCCAGTTTCATACGCATCGAGAATCAGACGTGGAACTAGAATGCGCAAAGTTTACAACCTTCCATAGGACAATTTCAGAATTTTTTCAAGGCTCAAGTATCGAGCGGCTGCGATCCCCACTAAAACTCGTCAAGACTAGTCACTACATTTTCCAACAAGATATTCTACGACCTCCACCGTCAGCAAACTCCAGGTATTCTCTGGCCAGCGCCTTACTAATTGATTGCAAATATCCGTTGAATTAAAGCCAGGCCCCAAATATTAGAAACAAAGAGCTCTCAGCTCCTGCAAAATTTGTGACCCTCGAGAACTTTGTATCTCCAGTCTAAAATTGAGAAACAAAAAAAAATGCATTCTTAGACAAAGGCATTCAAAGCAAGCTCATGGATCGGGGATCAGTACAACCCTCTGATATCGTATTGTACGTAAATATTGCCAAAGTGGAGCGATACAATTGCTGCAAGAAAAGATTGCCATAAGGAGAGAAAATTGCTCACATATTTATCATTGAGGGTTTTAGATTTGTGAAAGTGAGAGGCTCCATGACGTGACATAGTGAGAAGATCTGAACGAGGCCCCAAATCCGGCCTTTTCCCAAGAGTAGCACGTTTCCGCAGCTCTCATTGTGCTCTCATACACGCGCCAACCTCCGAATGAACGCAGAAAAAATAAAGTGCTACTTCCAGTCTCTCAAGTATTGACGCCTCGCATCCAAACCTCATCAAACATTCTAGCCATTTACGCACCATCCGCTTCCTCGCCAGCTCCACTCGACATCCTTTCTCACAAACACCACAATCTGGGAAACATCCCTGCACCGCCACCCTGTTTTATACCCAATTCCAAATTCCAACCTGCGGTCAAGTTTCCAGTTCTCCCCTCGAGGAACCCTAACCAAAACACCTTAATCAACAAGCCCAATTCCAAATCCAACAATCCGGCTCCAAAATCCGAATCCCAAACCCTATATCACAAGGTTCACAAATCACACAGCCTTGTATTCTACAAAACTTAGAAAACGAACTCCTCCACGAAGGAAACTCCTTGCCCGGCTACAAATCGGCCGCAACTCCGAGACAAACCCAAGGGCCAGAGCAGTCTCAAAGACGCATGACAGAACTAGAGATTTCTGTAATTGGAAGGGGGAAGTTGATTAGGGGGGCAGCGATGGATCGTTGCTTCCTTCCAGCGACAGAACCCCGAAGCACGTGAAATGCACGAGCAGATGACGGAAGCAGGGGGAAGCAAGCAAGGAACCAACGGAAGCGCAGGCCGAGGCCGAGGCTAGCGAGCCTGCGAGGGAGGGAGGAAGAGCAGGAGCAGGAACTCGTCAGACGGGGCAGGGGATGGTGATGGGGACTGAAGGGGACGGAGAAAGGGCCACGGCGAACAGGTCAGGTGAGGTCAGGTCTGGTAAAGAAAGATCTGGCTGGACACGAAGGAGGGAGGAGGAGCAACTCAGCAACCAACCCAGAAGCAGACAGAGACAGAGAGAGACAGAGAGAGACAGAGAGCCCTCCCTCCCTGCCTGCCAGCCTGGCTCTCTCTCTCGCTTGCCCTGTCTGCCAGCGTGGTCCTTCCGCTCTCTCTATATCGCCCTGCCCCGCCCGCCGGCAATCCCCAACCCCCTCCCCTCCCTCTTCTTCTGCCAGCCCCCTCCCCCCTGTTCTCCATCGCGTTCTCTACGTTCCCTGAGTTCTCCATATGTCTGGGTCGTTGTCTCCTCACAGCGAAGACCATAAAAAACAGCGAATCCGTGAAGGAGATATAATTATAACTGTAAGGTTCAGCCTTTTACTTTTTTACTTTTGTTTTTCGTTTTTTGTTTTGTTTTGTGGCACAAATGAAATGAGTACTTCATTGCAGGGGGACCGTTACAAGATGTTTGGTCAAAGCGGGACTGAGGAATCCCAACCAGACATGCCTCGACAGTAGACCCTTAGTATTTATATTACAACCTGTTCTCAATTGGGATCAATTCTAACAGCGGTGTGGTGGCTGTGGTGAAGCTGTTTGATTGTCCTACCATGCCTATGATCTTATTATTACCCCAACTGGTGTCAAACAAATTTTATATGTTCTCCTGTGATGTTTCTAGGGTGTTGGCTAAAACCTTTGTCTATGTGATGCAAGGGTAGTCCGTGAAGTCTTGCCATACCCTATTCATTGTCTTGTTGAGGGGCCATTCATTGTTATTAAAAACTTTGTCATTCCATCCAAACGTTATTGTCCAAAGTATTGCACAGTGGAGGAGGAACCAAATTGTGTCAAACTTACTGAATTGTTTTGGAAGTTTGTGAGCAAATATACATTGCATCCACATAAGATTAGATCATATAGGTGGACTATTTGATTTTGCTTGTATGTGGATGATCTCAAAGTACTTATTCCAGATGCGCTTTACTCTTGAGCATATCTAGAATCAGTGCAGGATGGATTTGTTGGCTCCAAGTTAAGATGTGCATAATGAATTAATATTAGAAATAATTTTATTACACTATATATTTATTGCAATAGCTTTTTGGTATATGATCTATATAAATGCCATGGTCTTCTTTGATCTGTGAGGGTGCCACACATTATCATGTTGTTGTTTGGCTATCATGTAAAAATAATGCATATATATATCTAGTATATAATTTATTAAACAATGTAATGAAAGTTATGTTATTAGATTTTAGTTGGTTACAAAATATGATTAGATTACTACTTTGAAGTAGTTACTTTAAAAGGGCTATTATTGAAGTTGATTTTATGTTAACATATATATATATATATATATATATATATAAAATATTATCAACATAAAATCAACTTTATTGGAACTTGTCCAATAAGTTAAAGCTAAATTCTCTATAGCTAGGTCTTCAATGTATTTTCAGATAGAAAATCATACCATACAACAATGTTTTGTTAATTCATCAAGGTATCAATTTGAAATTCGTCATTCCATTTTTTGATACATAGAAAGATCAAATTATCCAAATATGTTATTTATTCTTTGGTTATTTTTATAGTAAGTTAAAAGAAAAGTATATTGCCTATCCATACAAATAGTTTAAGTTCAAAGTCAAATATTATGATAACTATGTAAAAGAATTGACGTAGTATTTTTTTTAAGCCTGCATACCAATATTACTATCAAAACTTTTTCAATCAAGCATATTAGCTTGTTAACAATGGCAGCATCAAGGAACCATATTCTACTAGGAAGTAAAAAGTATTTGATCTATGAGATGAGTTTTGATATGGAATATAGTTAGTAATTAAGAATCTTAATATAAATTTTGTTAAAATTGAGGTCAAAGTAGGAGACAATGCATTCTTATCCAAAAAAGGAATAAAATCTCTATGTTGCATGGGTGATAAGAATTGGATATTGTAGAGAGCATTGTAAATATAATCTAAATTAGTCTCCTTTTCTAGTGACTAAGAGGTTTTTTTATAAGAAAGATTTAGATTTAATTTAGATATCAAATGTCATAATGTCACAATTGGGCTCATCTTTTTTTTATAGTTGAAATTGATTATGAGCCTCTTTTCAAATAAAGGATCAGTTTTGTACTATATTTGCACAATCTCAAATATATATGTATATATATATATATATATATATATATATATCTTCATTCATTTAATTTGAGTACTCAAGTTATTATAAAGATTGTATGTATAGATGTCGCAAATTCTAGGCTAAAGCAAAGTCCAACATTCTTAACTTTACTTATCATTTGTGACTTTCATTGTACAATTCTAATCAATTTCTTTTAGTCCTTCTTCAGTTAGACAAAGATGACAGATCCACTTGAGCATTAATAAGCTTTGAGTATTGTCCATTTTAAATCAAGCTCCCATTTTTCACTTTTATTCAATTAACATGTTGCTAATTGATATAGTAGAAAATTTGTTATATTTAATTATCTTTTTTTGAGAGCTTTTATAATCTACTTACCTAAAAGATAATTTCTAGCATCTTTGGAATTGATGAGGCTAAGTTCTTTGACTTTTTTCTTTAGAATGTATGTTCACCATGCAACTATTGTACTAGTATAATGTTCTTGCCAATCTTTAGATAATTCTAGAAAAGTGCCTTGAACTACTTGATGATATTTTTTAAGCTTGTCTTTACTTCTACAAAGTAAAATAGTATTGATATTAGTATTTAATTTATTATAAACATGAATCCAATTGGAGACAGTTTTATTGAGATACACAAAGTGAATTTTTGCTAGATCTTTTTTTTAAAGAAGCTTTTAATATTAAGTGTACTTATAAAAAGTCTAAATGAGGTGCATAGCAATTTTGCTAGGTGCCCATTAAATATCCAAACTCAATCATATGCAATCATCAATGTTAGTCAATAATTGTATATATTTATTTAATATATGGTAGAATTTTTTTAATTTATTACAAGTTCTAAAATCAAGGCAAAAGTGTCAAATATATCAATAAGTTGTTTCACATCTATTTTTTTAGTGGTAATTAAAAATATCATATTATTTATATATTGCAATGTATGTTGCTCAAATGTGATTCTTGAAAAGTTAATGCCATAGATTCAACCATGCACTTGTTTATCATGAATTTGAGCATTTAAGGCCTCATCAATAATGATGAAGAAATAAGGTGCAATCATACACCTTTGAAAGATTTTATGTTTGATGGAAAATAGTTTGATAGGTGTGCCATTGAGGTTTATGATTACTTTGGCATCTATAAAAGTCAATGTAATCATTTTTGTCAATTCCTCAAAAAAATCCATTTTATACATTGTATTGATCAATAATTGCCAATTTATTCTATTCTATACAATAAAAAAGTGAAGTTTTAAAAATAAGCAATTCTAGTTGGATTTCTTTGCCAATTTCAAGATTTCATATGTAAAGAAGATATTATAAAAAATTGACCTACTTTTCAAGAAAGCATTCTAATCAAGGCTAATAATGTCAATGAGAGGTTTTTGTCAATACAATTAGATTACTTTAGTGTATATTTTATATATTATCGTATTATAATTATTTATAATATATAAAAATTAAATAAAACATATAATATATTTATAAATATTGATGTGTATTAAAATAGTTAGTAGGTTAATTTAAAGATAGTTGATATAAGAAAACTTATTTTGAGGTTTATTTATTTTTCTTATAATGGTTAAATTATATAAGATTTATATATTTAATATAAAATTTAAAGAAAAGTTTGTAGCTCAAAGATGAAAATCCAAACCTCTAAGAAGCTTATTTAGAAGGGTTAAAGTAAGATATAGATAGATGAAGGTAAGGGATGAGAATCTTCATTCCTATTAGTCAAAAGCCATGTCCAATAGGCTCTCAAGAGGCTATCGACAACCATAATAAGGATTTTGATAACTTCAAAAGAGGCATTTGAAAATCAAAAGGAAGAATTATAAATTTTAAAATTTGAACTATAATTTAAATATAAATTTTAGATGGTTTGGAGTTAGAGTGATGAAATTATAGCTGTTTGAAGTTAAGGTGTCTTTTTAAGATATACTATTGCTCTTTTGAAGACATGAGGAATTATACAATAGCTTTTGGAGATCAAAAGATGCAATTGCAAAGGCAATTTTAAGACCTGTATTTTTTGTAAAGAAATTATTATATTTGGAGTTTGTATGAAGGAGTTATAAAGCATTGAAGACAACACATGTAATTCAAAGGTAGTAAGTAAGCCATTTTGTTGATAGTAATGGTTGGAGCTATAACTTGAATTTTTTATTGAACTTTTGGCTCAAAATTTCTAAAAGTATATGTTATTAGATTAAAAAGTTATATATAAAATATTTATGGTATTTAAGTACTTATTTTGTGACATATGAAGAAAATTGCACACGGGTGTATGCAAGTAAGGATTTGAAGCTACTGTTAGAATTACGGCAATATCCCAAGATGCATAACACATTTGTAGTTGAAATTTGTTGTGATAGTTGTTGAAAGTATATTAGTACTTCAGGTAAATTTTTAGTTTTTTTGGACAATCCAATTATAAGATATGATCTATTGAAGTTCAAGAAAAATTCACCTTAAGGATATATAAGGATTTAAAATATTTTTATCACATTTTGGATGTTCTTTAATACTTAGGACTTATGTATTGATGTAATTATTCCTATAGGAATAAATTTATATATATAAACTTGGTACTTTTTTATCTTAAGATTTGATTGAGTAATTAGTAATAGTTAGAAGCTTAATATTTTTTTAAAACAAATTCTCTCTACTCCAACAATGTAATATTTAATAGAGTTACAAGTCTTTAGTTATTTAATTACTTGTTGTCCTTGGTATTTGGTATTAACATAATAAAGACTTATGTCATTTTATGTAGAAAGTCTCTTATTTCTATTGCATATGAATTTTCCATATTCATTGCAAATTTGTTCTTAGTATAGTGTAAAGAATTGTATTATGAAGTCATCCAAGCTTTGAACTTTG